ATGGAACAATTAATCACGAAAGCAAGTAAATTCTTCTTACTTCCTTTGTAATCGTAATATAACATACAAGAGATGTTGAATTTATAACCAAGAGCCAAATGAACGGCTATATTGATTCGCGTTTTGATATTAGAAATATATCATTTGATTCTGGTGATATTTTCAACTAAGAGAAAAACCTAGGTTTACCTGGTGCGTATAGACTATCAATTGGTACAAAAGTGGAACTAATATCAGGCTTTTCATTAGCCATCCTAATACACATTACCACAAGGGAACCTATTAGCAATATTAATAATATAGCAATAAAGAAACGTCGAACCCGCAAAAGCGATAGTGGTTCTGTTATTTGCGGTGATGTGCATAAGTGACGTAGCATTTTTTTTCTTTGATAGATGCTAAATTTCTTTTTCTTTTAATGCAAGAAAAGGGATGAACTAATAATCCACAAAATCCTTGCTTTTAAATCACCCGCCTTAATACGTACATGTATTGAAAATTGGCATATCAATATCGATATATCGACGTGCAGATAGCGATAGCGGTAGATCCTATTGAACATGTAATAAATCTGCACGTCGGTTTATCTGTATCACAAATAATGAATTGCATTTACAAATTCTTGTTATTACATGTACATGTATTTGACTACGTACATGATTGGTACTTGAATTCTATGTGCTCGCATCCATTTATAACTCTAATTACATGTACGCAGCGACTCATTAAAGAAACGGAACTTGAATTTTTAATTTTTTAACGTTCCGTCTATTTTGAAGGCGCATTTACACATTACTAAACTAAGACTGCTATTCTATATGCATCCCTTGCCTGTATCGGTATCACATAATCCCTAACTCTTTCTGGTATCGAATTGATCAACCTTTCGCTAAAATCTTTTCCCACAAATCGTTTTTATTTAAAAGTTGAGCCAGGAAGATCCCGCAGCGTGTATCGACTTCGTTCCATAAATTTTCCACTTGATTCAAGTCGGGGGCCAATCAAGCAAAGTAATGTCATTATCAAGAAATCATTACTTTGCTTTACTTGACGTATGTTTGGGGTTGTCTTGGTGGATTATAAATTCACTATCTTCCAACATTTTCTCACAAACTATACCAAATAAATTATTATTCAGTATACCGACATAGACGTCCGCGTCGATTTTGCCGTCGATTTTTCAGAGTTTACTAACTCCGCTGGCAGTCAAAGCAGCCCCAAACCATAACTGCACCGTCGCCAAATTGTTCACCAGGCTACTTCTTCGCCCGTCCGATCCAAATAATTTGGAACTTGCTTTCGTCGGACCAAATTATTTGTCGACCTTCCAATTTCAGCGTTTTTTTGTGTTTTTTCAAGTAATGGCCTTTTTTCGCTTAATTCTTGCGAAGAAGCCATCTCTTCTAAACATACGTCGTATGCTTTCCGCTGAATTTCACTCCCAGTTCAGTTTGGAGCTCGTGTTGAACCTGGACGGCGGTAGCGCATTTTCCAGACGATATTAATCAGATGGCATTTCCGTCCGTAACGATCCGAAAGAATGCGTGGACGACCGATTCTTGGTTTATCTTCGAAGTTTCCGGTTTCTTCTTTGTTCTTGCAGATGCGTTGGACCGAAGCTAAGCCCACCTGTTCCGATAATGCGATTTCCCGGACCGGAATCCTTCTTGTCGGAGAGTGTATATTCGGGCGCGTTTTTCTAGTGAAATGCGAGGCATTTTGGAATAATAAAAATGGTTGGAATTATTGCTTAGAATAATGAAAATGTGTTCTGTAGATAGTGTAGCGAAAAAAAGTGCTTTTAAGCTTTATCTTTATGGACTTGAATTTCTTGTCCAATTCGATCATATTAAACGGAACGCTGAAAAAAACTTTAAAAATACAGATTATTATTAGTTTAATGAATAAAATCCACTTTCTTTTGGTCCCCGATAATGCTTCAATAGCGAGATATTCGGATCTTACTATTTTTTTTCCGTGTTCTGTTTCTTTAGTGAGTCACTGTGAAACATTTTTTCAATTCCACCGTGTATTAACCAATACGTAATCAGTAATTTTAACTACGTACATGTACATCTATACGTATCACGATTTAATTGTAGAAAATTATTTAGTTAGGATAGTGGGGATATCGATATATTTCTTGGTTAATTCTATTGTGTATAGAGTATGCATAATAACGATAATAACCAGTTAAATTGTAAATATATGCGCAAACACAAGAAATAGAAGACGCTTTTGGTCGTTGTGCAAATCGAAACGCGGGCTAAAAAACTTTATATTGCTATTTAATTTAATAAAGTATAAATTAATACTTATCAGTTTCATCCAACAAGAGCATGATCTTGGGTTTCATTATGAAGTTGTAGTTGTTCTTGAAATAAACTCGATAGGTACAGTCGCCACAGAAAGTAACGCCCGATTTGGATGTGTAACATCATAAATTTAAATGTGGCGGTTTTCCTCCTTTTTGTTATTGTTGACTGCAAATTTTTTTTTATTTCTTTCTTCGACTTTTGAACATACATTGGGCGAAATTTGTTGGCTGTAAATATAACACACACCGCCTCCAGTTGACCGACTTTGACAAGGGTAAAATGGGTAATTTGGATTGGGGTTTTGAGTGCCGTACAAGTTGCAAGAAAAATGATATACAAGAGAAATAAGAAAAAAGAAAATTTACCAGGGTTTGGAAGGTCACAAGCTGTTGACAAGCAAGAAAAAAATGCACATTTACAAGAAGCCAAAAAAGATAACCTGAGCCATTTCGTGACATTGTCAACAAAAATTCTTTGTAAAAAATTTACCCGAAGATTCTTTAAGGTAGTTTCATCCTTTTTCATAATATAATATGCTCATTAATTTGAAAAAATATGGCGTTCAGCTTAACTCTAACCCTAATTCTAAAAAGATCACGAAATAAGAATATTAATGATTATGAACCAACTAACGTATTTCCACAGACTAGCTTCATAGAAAACCATTGTAAAACAATATTCTAAAGTGTAAAAGCTTTTCAAAATCGTGAGCATGCTCTGAAGAAAGTGTAGTCAAAATTTAATGTGTTAGTTTGGGGTAGGATATGAGCTCAATGCCGTAAGGAATCGAGGTGATATTGAAGCCATATAGAGGGTGGGTAATGTATTAGTTAATGGTAAAAAAAATTTATGTACATAAAGCAGAAATGAAATAATTCGAAATTTTCATTTTTTAAAAAAACCGGGCGATACTTTTTGGGTACTGTACATATATCTTTATACTCGTTATCTCATTTGTTATACTAAAATTGAAATCATTTGGAACATACAGTGGGTCATCATAAAGATCCGGCCTCTTACAAACCATTAAATTTGACAACACAAAAACAGGATTGTAAAAGCTAAAGTTTAAATATTAGCTTCTAAGTTTTACTAATATTAATGCTTTGTATGATGTCCATTTGCAAGCAATAACCGTGGCAATTCGATAAATAATCTTTAGATAGTATTCGAGTGCAAGATCCTTCCACGTATTATTCGAGTTCTGTGAGAATTGACGGTGCAAGGGATAGTCGGCGAACAGCTCTTTCACTTCATGCCATAAATTTTCAAATCTGGACTTTGTGGAGGCTAAAATAACGTCTTGATTCCAGAAACTTCGCGAGCGGCTGTTGCAACCTTTGGCCTATGTGGTGTTGCATTGTCCTCTTGAAAACATACCATAACCTCATGGGGAAACTTGTGTAGATAGGATCCTTTTCTATTTGAGTATCTAAAACTAAAAAATAGTTACCACAAAATGCAAAAATAATTCTAGCCGGTCCTCTTTAATAACTCACTGTACAACTGACACTTGTAGAGAAGGGATGTTAAGTAATCCGCATGAACTGGGTCCGGACTGAGTCCGGGATCTGAATTTAACCAGTTCGTCCCAAGAAACCAAGGACCCGGTCCTTTAGAGTCTTTTCATCTCTGGAATTAATTAGGACTCAGTTCATGAATTCGGTTCAAGGGACTAGTTCAAGAAACCGATTCATGGACCGGATTCATGTTAAAAAATGTAAAATAAACACTAAATTTGTGTCTAAAAATGGCACGAAATTTGTATCCAGAAATAAACTAAATTTGTGTCAAAATGTACCGGTACGGATTTTGATTTAATGTATAACAACATGAAACAAAGTTGCTCAATTTGTTTGTCTAAATCAAAATCGAAAAAACGCGCAAAAGGTTAATATACTAATATAAATACAATACATAAAAATAATTGTAATTGTTGTATAAATAAAATAGTCGGTTGGTTGTATCTATTAATTAAATATACACAGCACATATTAGATACACAAAGAATACACCAAAGTATCTTTCCCATTCTAAACCACATAACGCCAGGTGACGATTTATGATAAAGCAGGTCCAGATTTCGAACAGCAAATTACAGTAAAAAAGGCTTGTTATTTTCTGTATTAGTTAAAGCAATACTAAATGCAATAATTACGGCAGAAAGATGGTTTCCATTAGAGGATGTATTGCATATTCAACACAAATCCAGAAAGAATTGTGAAGTAACCTGTGAGGCCGAGGTACAATTAAGAATCTCATGATAAATGACACGATTAACGTTGGCATCAATGGTATAGATTCTTATTGTATTTGCGTAGGGATCAATTGATATCCCTTCCTAGATAAATAATATTCAATTAGCAGAGAGATAAACAAGAGCAAAATAGCCATCATTGTTACGTAGTCTACTTCCCTCAGCTCCCCTCGTCATACACTGAACCATTTTCCTATCCACGTCTCGAGCTGAGTTTCTCTGTGAACATAGCTCTATGATAATGTTTGGTTAACTTGCGGAAAATTTGGTTCTCCGGGTCGTCTGGAAGGCGTTCCATCTACGATAAAAAGTAGAAATTAAAAAGACGACGCAAAATGTGCAAACATTCTAAATTTGATCACGTTCAAACCTATACCTAAGTACAACACACGCATCGGGGCCTAAAATGTCGAAGTCATCCCTAGCATTGGGCACTCTAAAGCCCCCCCCAAACAATCAATAAAAATAATTAAAACGAAGTAATGCTAGTAAACATGAAAAGGAAACGCTAACATAATACTTGCATTAAAACCACCAAAATGTCCGTTTGCATTACACCAATTGCCTACTTGCCAGATGAGCCATGCTTCTCTTGTATCTAAACATTTTATCTATAGTCATTTCAATTGTCAAATAGTGGCTTAGCAAGTTACATACTCGTTTCCTCGAGAACAGACATTATTTCAAGTTGGCCTTCGATAAGGTTCATTCGAAGGTGAGGGTTTGCGAAAGCGATTTTTTCAAACAGCTGTTCACTACAGTTAGGAACACCAAGTTTGCCGTGCGCGAGTCTTTCCAACAGCTGTTCACTCGAGGGAACAACAATCTCACTGTCTGCGATTCTTCCAGACACTTGTTGAGTACAGTCAGGAACAATAAATGGTGAAGACATTTTTCAAAAATGTGAAAATGTGAATACCGATATTTGTTTATAAAGTTTTTCACATCAATCAACTGACCCTCCCTCTCCGTCCGTCAAATAACTTCGCTTAACATGGTTGTCAAACTTTGACTTAACTCGATGCCATAAAAACAAATTGTCCTTAATAAATATTTAAATACCGTATTCGTATTACAACAAGACCAAGCCGTAAACCAATTGTTAAGATATTTTTGCAGCCAACTTGGGAAGGGGAATAGGAATGGCGAATGTCAAGTGACCTGTTTATATATATCTCAAAACTGAAAATCTTGCGCAAAAATTCACGTGGCTTCAGATTGGTTTTCAAACATGGTGTGCTGGCAGACATTAAAAATTGATTTATTTTCGAAAGAACAGATTTGAACTAGCACTACACACCCTAAGCAAAATATGAAAACCTTGCAAGGGAAAACCACTCGGCCCCTAGACCATAATTGAGCGCTCCTATTCTTTGGGGTTTTCAAAGTCTATTGATACACGATTACGACTAAAGAGGCTCTGGCTACGTGGCCAGTCTATATAGAATATTCGTTTTCGGCCAAATGCTGGCGTGGTCATTTTGTAGCTCTCCCCGTCATCGGGAGAAATTTCGGATACAGCGTGCGTGCTTTGCACTCCGTGAAGCGTGAGTCGTAGATTCGTCTCTAAAGAGCCTGCGAAAATTAAAAGGAGTTTTGACCGATTGTTCCGTATATGAGTTGCATTGTTTTTCAGTGTTTCCAGAATTGTATCTGGTCACGATGTAGAGAATTATGTTTGGATGAACATGATGATGACGAGTGATAAAAAATCAGAAGTGATCGAGAGCATTTTGAATTAAGATTTGTGTGATTTTGTGTTGTAGAGAGAAGTGAATTAACGATTTCTGCTATTTGTGCGAGGTATGATCGCTTATTAGATCTGAGAGTTTTATAAGCAATAAAGTTTAAATTTTATATTTCATAATTTGTTATAAATTATAAAATAACAATTTAATATTATTACTATAATAGTAATTAAATATTCTTATTTAGTAGTGCTCTTATTGAATCAAATTGAATTGAATTTAGATAAAATTTGAATTCAGTTTGAAATCTGAACTGAACCTGAATTCAACAGGAATTTTACATTTTTTTTTGAATCTGAACCTGAGTCCAAACTCACAATTTCTGAACCTGAACTGAATATGAATATTATTATGAGTTCAGTATGAAGTTCAGGTTTGATAGGATTAATTTTGAAAGCCAGAGCATTCTAATAATATTACAATAAAGAATCCAAATTTAATATCAAAATATTTGAAATATAATATTTATAATACAAAAATCTAACTATTTTTAAATTTCATATAAATCAAATTATTAATTGAGTAATATATCAAATCACATCAAAAATTCATGTCATATAGTTACTCAACTTTTTTTTAATAATCTTTGCATTCATAATTAAAAACACTATGTTGCTCTTATAATCTTAGGCATCAAGCTAGATCTTTTATTCATAATCATATTTCTACTAGCAAAAAAGGTACATTCAGAAACAATAGAGAATATTGGAATTATCAAATAATCATAAGTCATATAAATAAGCCAAGAAAATTGTATTTGATATATCTAAATATCATATTATTCAATTTCAAATTATTATTTTTAATAGATAACTAAGATCTTCTTCATTTTTATTATCAAAATCTGCATATAGAATAAAATATATAACTAATCTTATAGTACTATCAAAATTTGCATCCAGTATAAAATATATAATAATTTTATAATATCATTAAATTAATATTTACTAAAAAGCTGTTATTTAACATAAAAGTATTGGTTAATATATATTCTAAAAAATTAATTATTATAAGAGTAAAAAATTAAAATAAAATAAAATATTTAAAATAAAATAATTTATAATTCTTTTATTTTATTAATCTTGTTATTCAAAAATTTCTTCTTTATAAAATAATGAAATTTTTTTTGAATTTAATAAAATATATAATATTATAGTTATATTTATTTTAGAATATAGTCAAATTTTTCTATAGTCATACCTATTTATAATCATATCCCTTTATAGTTACTCTATTTTTCTTTCTTATTTATATATAAATATAGTAAAAAATCTCTCTAGTCACATTCTCTCTATAGTCATCAAATTTTGATTTTCTGAGAGTGATGAATATAGAAAGATTTGATTATAATACTAAATTAACTTTTCTTTTATTATTAAAATTGCTATAACAAGTAATAAAAATTATTAAAAGTGAGCTAGTAAATATAATCAAATTTTTTAATACTTTACCAATTCTATTCTTTATTTTTATATTTAAGCTATATTTTTAATATAATAAATAATAATATTAAAAAAGAAATAATTCAAAAATTAATATTATTTATACTAATTAATATTTTAACTATGATGAAATCTATTTGAAAATACCTTACAAAATTCTTGATATTTCTTTTTTATCAGTTAATAAGTCTTTAAATTAGCAAAAGAATTATAGAATAATTAATAAACTTTTTAAAAAAGCAATTTAAATAGAATTAAATATCAAGTTCTCAGCTATATAAGAATTAAATAATTTTATAAAGAACTTTATTAAAAGCATGCTTTAAAATGAACTTCTATTCAAGAATTGACATAAAAAGCTTAAAGAAGAACTAATTATTAGTTAAATTATTTAATAATTCTAATCAAGAGCAAGATATTGAAAATATAGATTCATCTTTAATTTAAAATTCCATTATTTATCCTAGAAAAGGTATCTTTCACAAAACTCAATTTAAAGAATCTCAAGAATCAAAGTCAAAAAATACAAGTCAAAAACTAATAATATCAATAATATTATAGATTTGATTATAATAAAATTAGGTGTGAATAATAATATAAAAAAATTAAGTTTCATATTTATAATATTATTATTATATGTTATAATAATCTTTTATAGTAATATTAATTAAAATACTAACAAAAATCATTTTTGCATTTTTTTGTTAGATTTTCATAATTGTTTCAACTAACTTTTTGCAAAGTAAAATGAGCTAAACTTTCATTTTTAATTGTTAACTTTGAGAATATCATTGCTATAATTATAAATATTTTACATTTTTTTGTATTTCATTCTCTAATATCTTATTATTTTTTATTAATTTCAAATACTTTTACTATTACTTTGTTATTTTCAAATACTATTTGATATTTTTATTATTTTTTGTTAATTTTAAATACTAATTAATACTTTTCACTATTACTATTACTTTCAAATATTATTTGAATACTTTTACTATCACTTTATTGCTTTCAAATATTGCTCAAATACTTTTATTATTATCTGTTGCTTTCAAATACTACTTAATATTTTCATTATTCTCTATTGATTTTAAATACTACTTAATACTTTCATCACTATTTGTTGCTTTCAAATAATATTGAATGCTTTCATTACTCTCTATTGATTTTAAATATTATTTAATACTTTTATTATTATTATTACTTTTAAATACTACTCAAATACTTTTATTATTACTATTACTTTTAAATACTATTCAAATACTTTTATCATTATTTTGTTGATTTTAAATACTACTTGAATATTTTTATTATTATTTCATTAATTTTAAATATTATTCAAATACTTTCACTATTACTCTATTAATTTCAAATACTATTCAAATACTTTCATCATCTTTCATTGATTTCAAATACTATAAAAGTATCTGAAGTTAAAACTTAGCAGAGATATCCAAGAAAGTAAAAGATGCTGGAGCTATACTCACCTATGATAACTTTATTATTATCATTTAAGTGACATTGTATTGCAATGAAAAAGTGATAAAAGTTATTGAAATTACTATTTAAAGCAAGTTTTTCAAGTATAATTAGTTAAGAAAAATAAAAAGTCATGAATTAAGAAAATTAAAATAATAAATAAAATTGTTATTATAAAAAAGAGATAAAAAATACAAATTATTTATAATAATCAATTATCTAAAGTAATTAGTTTTTAATATCAGACTTCAGAAAAAATTAATTTACTTAACAAAATTTATATATTGTTTTATAAAGCAGGATAAAAAATTACATGATTAATTAAAAAAGTAGAATGTAATATAATTTTATTAAGTTAGAAAGCTCTTAATTTTCTTTTTTTTAATTCTTTTTTAATAGTCTTTAGAAATAAAAAACTAAATATTTATAGAATATTAAACCAGAAATTATAATTATTATATTTTTTTCAATCATAATGTTAATATTATTTTTTTAATTATTATAAATTATTTTTGCTAATATAATATAATATAATATAATATAATCTAATCTAATTAATTAATAAAATTACAAATTTATTTATTATGTGATATTTATATAATAATTATAATAAAACTATAACTATATATAATTTTTCCTTTTATTATTATATATTTTAATATTAAATTTATACTATTTATTTCTTTGATTAATCTAATTTTCTTTTTAATTCTGATTAATTAATTAGATTATATATAATTTGTATATTTATTCAGATTATAAAATATTAAAAATTCTTTACAAAACTTAATATTAATATATTTCAAGTAAACTAATTATATTTATTAATTAGAAAAAATCTGTTAATAGATTTTTATAAATATTTCTTGTATAAAAGCATTTTTAAAACTAAAATAATTAATTTATATTATTTCTTTTGTCATATTATATTTAATAATATATAAAATAAAAATAATTTTTATTATTTTATTATATTTATAATATATATTGTTATTATTTCTAGTTTTTATATATGAGAATATTTAGAAATGATTAATAATAATTGTATTTATAGCAGATTTTAAATAAGAATAATATAATTAATAATAGTAAATAATTAATAATAATAAATTATACTTTTAACTTTAATTTATATCATATATTTAGTTTTAGTATTATTTTATTATTATTTAAATATATTTTTATTAATTATAAAAGATAAAGACAATATAATAATAATTAAG